TGGGGAGCACTGTCTTGTCAGATGCTTGCTGAGTTGCTCAATTGCTAATCCAGGGCTGAGGGAAGAAGTCAAACCACAGCAGACAGCTGGGTTGCGGCCGCTGTATGAGCAAACCCCAAGGGCAGAGGCTGGTGAGGGGGGCTTGGTGGAGGGGTGGGAAACAGCTCAGCCTGGCTCAGGGCATCTGCCCTGGCTAAGGCAGGAGAGGCAGGGCTGCAGGTCTTCTGGGTGACAGTCACGTTTCCTGATTCCCACCATGGCACATTTTAGTATCACTTGAGCTCTGGGGCAGTGGAGGGGAGTCTCCTCCTACTTAGTGTCTTTGAAGATGGCCACTCTCTGACATTAGATGTGAAGGAGCCCTTTCATTCATCCACTAAGTGCTGACTGAACACCCACTGTTGGCAGGCCTGTGCCAGGCACTAGGAGATGCTCAGAAGCCCTTATGCCCCAGCTCCACCACCTGAAGCAGCACAATCACCCTGCCAGGCTGTTGTATATATATGTAACATGACATGGTTCTGTGGGTAGGGGATGAAGGCCGGGAGCCGTGGACATGTGAGAGCAAGTCACCGGTCCTCCCAGTTTCTGACATGGGCTGAAAGCTACACCTACTCCTCTCTGGAAGTGGAGGTGGAAGGAGGGTGTGTGGCTCAAGGATACTGGGTGTGAAAGTGGTTTGTAAGTCATTCATTTTCCACATGGAGGTGTGCTTTTGCTCCCCAGGGCACATTTGGCAATGTCTGAAGACAATTTTGGTTGTCACCAGGTGGGAAGCAGTATGTGTGCTGCTGGCATCTCATAGGTAGAGGCCCAAGGTGTTCCTAAACATAGACCCTTAAATAATAATTATCTGGCCCCAAATATTAATGGTACCCAGGTTGGGAGAAATTCTAGTATAAACTGTAAAGCACTATGGTGTGTTAGTGATTGTAATTCACTGCTCAGAGCCACTGGGGGCATTCCCTAAAGACAGATTTTTACTATTTAGAGGAGAGGGAAGGACACATCCTTACTTGTGGGGCTGCCCCAAGTGCTGGGCCTCACTGCCCGCAGCTAAAGGAGTTAACCCAGCCCTGTTGGGCAAGCACATGCACAGGAGCTTGATCTGAAGATGCGTCCTGGTGGGACTCAGAGCCAGTAAGGTGGGTGGTGCTTCCTTCGCTTCTCCCACTGGCACTGAAGGGTGTTCCCAGTAACAACCCATCTGGCTAGCGGGGTTTGCCTGTGTGCCAGGCTGGACTTCTCTGGCTGTGTGCAGGATCTGTGAGGGTCCTGGGTGAAGAGCAGGGAAGTGGCAGCCTAAGCTCCTACTTGTGTAAGATCATAGAATCTGGACAGCACAGTGTGGGACAAGTTAGGGAGCAGCCTGCAGGCCCATTCCATCATCCCTAGAGACAGGGACACAACTCCGAAGCTCACTTGATAAGAGCCTTCAGCTTCCAGCAGCTTCCATGGCTATGATTTGTATCAGCGTGCCTGGCACTGTGCCCAGCACAATATATGCACTCTCTCTTCCCTACCACCATTGTATACCATTTCTGCCAATGCGTACCATTTTACAGACCAGGCCACAGAGGCTCTGAGAGGTTGAATCACCTGTCCACCTGTCCACGGTCCTTCTGCTGCAGTGATAGAGCTGAGACGGGACTCTGGGCTACCTGATCCAGAGACCCAGCTCTCTGTCACTCACTGGTCTGTCTTAAAAGTGCTACAGCTTTGCTAGGGGTGCTGATCAGCCTACTGCTGCTTTCCCCAGAAACCCACAACAATGAGACCTCAGCTTATCTATTCCCTTACTCTTCCCAGTGCTTCCATTTGGGGTTCAGAACAAACTTAAGGATTGTGGCCCAGAGGGAGGATGAGGCCTGGCCAAGGCTACTCAGCATGTGGCATGGAGCTGGGGACTGCAACCCAGGTCTCCAGGGTGTAGCCCCAATGTCTGTCTGCGTGGAGGGGACATTTGGAAACATTTCTGAACCATGTCTATCGCAGGGCTCTGTCCTTTGAGGGCAGAGTCCACACCTTGTACCAAGGGATTGTGTAGTCCTCCTGCTGTTTGGGAGCTGCCACAAGCTGTCAACTCATTTCTGGTGCCAGACATGAGCCTAATCAACAGATTCCAGCTTCTCTGGGCTTGCCCAGGCCTCAGGCTGAACAACCCTCCCAGCTCCAGGCTCTGTCCTGCCCAACAGCTGCACACAGCAGGACACCTGGCCTCCCTGCCAGGCCACCCTGATCTCTTGATACAATAGACAGCACAAGCTCTGCAACTGGCCAGCCCACCAACCCTGGACAGAAGCCTGTCTCCAGATACTGGGAGGGAACAGGACACTCAGGCCTTGTGCCTTAGCACCAGCCATTCTCTTAGGGCCAGACCTCTAGCTTGACTCATCCTTGAAAAGATACTGTGCTACCACTATGCCCGAGTGGATAGTTGCCTCCCTGAGGCTGTTTCTTCTGGAGACAGTTTTGATTCAGACACATTTGCCACTTACTAGTCAGGACATCCTACACCTTCCTGAGAGGCTGCCCCAGGCTGCCCTAGGCTTTGGGCAATTGCTACCTCCATGACCCTGAATCTTTTCATCTGTAAGGTGGATTTTAAATGTAGTCAGGATTTAGATAGTACAGTGGGACTTGTTACAATTACTGTGTCATGATTCTATAGCCTCCAAGGCAAGTTTCTGGGACTGCTGCTCACGCTCAACTCTGTCCTCCGGAAGCCATGTGGCATGCACACCACCGTTCATTCACGCTTTTACTTTTATCCTGCCCTTTCACCTAGCCCCTGAGCTCCTAGGAGGCATGCTGTGACACCTATTTTCCCCAGGGCTGGTCCATGCCTTGGCTGGGCATGGAGGAAGATAAATGCACAGCAGTAACCCTGGTTTGGGAAGTCCTGTGCCTGTTGTGTCTCATCCTTCAGAGCTCTTGTTCCGTGGGGTCCTGGGAGGCTCCTTGCTCTTTTGGCCTGGGGCTGAGCAGAGACCCTTGGCTCAAAGCCCAGGTGGAGCAGGAGTGAGCTGGGTCATCCTGAGCCCCGCTGTGTGGCAACCTGAACCATCACAGTTGCAGAGAACAGGTTTGCCAACCTCTTCTCCCTCCAGGCTGCCCCTCCTCACCCACCCCTCATAGTGCAGGCTCAAGAACTGAGCTGCTGGAATTCCCCAGAGGTTGCACGACCCAAAGCCCGAAGCTGGGTTAGTTGCCTTCTTTGGGGCAGCTTCTCAGGAAGGTGTAGGATGTCCCTGTCTGGAAGTTAAGAGAACCTGGACTTGGTTCTCAGCTCTGAGTTTGGCAGGTAGCTTCTTCCCCTGGGCATCAGTTTCCTCACCTAAAAAGGGATCCAAAGACTAGATGTCTTAAAGGCCTCTCCATTATAGGATGTCTCTGTGTTCCTTGAAGACCTGGCTTATATACTCATATTGCCATTTTTCTGTGTTTTTGCAGCCTTCAGTGAGGGGCAGGCAGGGACCCCCCCCCCTTTCTGCTGATGCTCAGACCTGTTCTGGAGAGCCCAGCTCTGAGCCCATGTATTCAAGAGCCAGCTCTGGAGACTTCAGGCTTCCCAAGTCCAAACACAACTCTGTGATTCAGGCCTGCTAGAGGTAGCCTGCAGTGGGGCAGAGGGAGGAGGACGTGGTGCCCTGGTTTCTGTACATACTGCTATTGCTCCTGAAGTGTTAATCAAATTAAGCCTCCAAGAAAAACAAAAGCTCCACAACCACTTTGGGATGTCTTAGAGTCACTCACTCTCGGGGAACAGCTGGGAGAATTCCACATCACCTCCATCCCCCAAGCCTGGGTAGCTCTGACCCCAACGAACACACTCCTTCCAGCCTACAGGCCCCCGGCTGGCCACAATGACCTCATAGCAACAGCCATTGGACACTGGGGGCAATTTCATGGGAGATATTTGTTCTTCAGTCTTGATGCAGAGAGAATTTTTTCCTCTCCCATGGTCTCCATGGAAACCCCAGCCACACTGGTGGCTATCCCCCTTCCCCTCCCACAATGCTTTTCAGATCAATATTGGGGCATGGCTCCCCTCTGTTGGCCCACAGCTACTAAAGGCAGAGCTCTGGGCAGGAGGAGCTAGGTCCAGGGTTAAGCCTGGGCCGTGGGGAACTGTCACTGAGGAGGGATGCAGTCCTGGGTCCTCTTCCTATTACCCCAGTTCACTGCAGCTCATCCTCGAAGCTCCCTTTCTCTCCACAAGCTTCTGCCCCTTTTTAGGGAGTCTCCTGAATGCAGACCCAGTCAAGGAGAGATAGGTCCCCAATGGTTACCACCCCATTCCTCCTCGGGGTGAGACCCACGGAAGTTGGGGTCGGCTGTTGTCCTCTTTGAAGGCAGTTGGTAGTTTCTTCCTGCCCCAGGGACACCAGCGTCAGGATAGAGCCAACCGCGGGCTCTCAGAGGCTCGGTGTCCCGGTCCTTTCCCTCTTTCCGTGCCTGGCTCCCGCCCCCCAAGCAGAAACAGGTCCCTGCACGCCTCCAGCCCGGCCCGCAGGACAGCGCAGCTCAGCTCGGGGAGCTCTCCAGACTTCTAGGGATTAACCTGCTTTTATGTCCCGGAGCCCTTCCCGTAATGGGCTTCTCGCAGATCTGTCACCCCCGTGGGCTGCACCCGGCGCCCGCACTCCTGCTGGGCCGCCGGCCCGCGCTCGCACTTCTTGCGCCCTCGGGCGACCAGGGCCGCCTGTGGGTGCGGACACCTCGGCCATCCTGCTGCTCTGGCAGAGGGACCAGGGGTGTCCGGCGGAAGGCTGGGCAGCGGTGCGGCGGCAGCACGAGCGAGTGGCCTCCCGTCCGGCGGTCGAGGCACCTGCCGGGCGCCCCCGCGCCCGCTGCCCCGCGCCGCCTGGCACCGGCCGCTGCCCCGGGGCCCGCCCCGCCCCGCCCCGCCCGCGCGCCCGGCCCGACCCGACCCGACCCGACCCGACCCGACCCGGCCCGACTCGGCCCGACTCGGCCCGACTTACAGCCAGTTGCTGGCGGCAGCCGAGAAGACGGCGAAGACAAGCAGGCGTAGCGAGCGCAGGCACGAGCGGGGACTCATGGTGCGGCCGCGGGCGCCCGGCCCCGGGCGGTGGCTGCGGGCGTGGGGGGCCTCCCGTCGGGGCGGCAGGTGGGCGCCCCGCGGCGGGTGGGGCGCGGGCCGGGCGGGGGGCTGAGCCTCCGTGCCTGCGGCCGCTGCCCGCTGCTCGCCCGCTGCCCGGCGCGGACCAGACTGTCAGCGCCGCTCCGGAGCCGGGATGCGGCGGCGGCTGCAGAGCGGGCGGGCCGCGGTGGGGGGGGGGGCGGGGGCGGGCCGAGGATGGGGTTACCTGGGCGGGTCCAGCGGCCCGGGACACCCCCGGGGGCGGGCCGGAGCGGCAGCGCCCGCCTAGCCTGCGGGACGCGGCTTCTCCGTGGGCCTCTCGGCTGGGCCCCCGGATAAACTGGGGCCGGAGCCCGCCCCAGGCACGCACCACCGCGCGTCTACCAGGCGGGCCGAGCGAACGGCGCCCCAGCTGCCTGGTCCCCGCCCGGGCCTTGGGGACAGGCGGGCACAGCTCCCCCAGCCCGCCGCGTTGGGCACTGCAGCCCCGCCCTCGTCGCGCCCCCGCCCCCCGCCGGCGCCGAGCAGCCCGGATCCCGTCCCGGCCGCGGCGGACCGGCCGAAGCGCCGCTGCCACCCGCGCGCTCCCGGACGCTTGCGCTCCTGCGCCCAGCGCTGCGCACCGTGGCGCTCGGTGCCGCCCGGCTGCCCCCGCCTGGCCCCTCCCGGCCTCCCGGCCCGCGCCTCCTGGGGCCCGGCCCTCCCTGGAGCTCACCTCCCTCCAGCCTTCCGGGAGCTGGACGGAGCCTCCCAGCTTCGGGCAGCTTGGGACAGTGTCCTGAGACTTCGGGAACCCGAAACCTCGCGTCTGGCTAGCCACAAGTTCTGGGCGCGCCCGAAGCAGCAAGGTCTTGATTAAACTACCTTTCGGAGCCGACTTACCACGCTGGGGTTGGGAAGATGGAAGGCGCTTAGGGAAGGTCTCTTAGCCTCACAGTTGCCAAGTCTTGCTTTGTGTTTCAGCTTTCTGTGGTGTTTTATTTATCCTCCCACGCCAGGCAGATCCAACCCCTTGCTCCATGCCTGAGACTGTGGATGACTGCCATGCTCGTGGAATGAACGAATGAAATGGAGTAGGCTGCAAGGGCCTGCGCCTGGTCTCTAGAGCTCAGTCGCACACCGTAATAGTTATCTTCCCAGGACCCGCCACGCCGTGTTCAGGTCACTGACCTAATTCCCGTCGCTCCTCACTCTGTCTCTAGTTGCATTCCACAGAGCTAGAGGAGCCTCATGTCTAAATGGGGAAACCAAAGCCCAGAGAGGGACTGGGGACAGAGGCAAGGACCAGGCCTATATACCACCAGCATCCCCCACCCCCAGGTCCCACGGTCCTGTTTCCTGAGCATGAGTCTGGTCAGCACAGAGCTGATCCCATTGAGTGCTGGGATGGTGCCCTTACTTCAGAGGAGTCACAGCATAGAGGAGGGGCTCAAGTAAACATTTGGCACTGAGACTGGGCAGAAGGTGGCAGGGATTTGTGGAGCCTGGCAGAGTACAGATGGAAGTTCACGTACCATATGTCTAAATATTTGCAGGTTATAAATCAAGCTAACAAAACGTGAAATAAAATATGTTCTAGCCTTCTACTTTGACAAATACACTTTCTTAACAACATAAAAGGCCTGCTTTGGTTGTAGACTTTTCTGACTCCTGGGACCCCTTACTGGAACAGAGCAATACAGGAAGAGAATCCCCTAGGACCTGGCTTGTCTCCCACCCTTCCCATTCTGCCTCTGTCCAGCCCCCCAAATGGTTGAATGTACACATGTGAACAGCTCAGCTGGCATATGGAAGCTGGGACCCCCCAATCCCTTTACCCACCCTGATTGCTGCCCCTTGGCCACCTTAGTCTTTGAGCTGGGCACCCCAGCGGTGCATTGTGTTCTCAAGGGCTGGATCTGGAAATGAGGCACTCATGTTCTGGAAGTGGGCTCAGGGCTTTCTGTGTATGGCACTGTAGGGCCCTGGATTCCCATAATGTGACCCAGCAGAGAAGATCCAGGCTGTAGGTGGGCGCATCCCTTAATCTCATGGTCTCCTTGAGCCAGAGTGGGATTCCAAGGGTGGCGACCACTCTTACCTGGGCCTAAGGGTGGCACTGAATTACTGAGCTATTTTCAGTCAAACTATTCACTTCCTGGAGGCTCAGTGTGGTATGGTAGAAAATAATAATAATAATTTAAACTGTAGCAGGCAATTATTTTAAGGTGGCTATATAATTTTCTTCCAGAGCAGATTTCTTCCAAATTCTTTTTAGAGTGGTAGAGGACCCTCGTTGGAAGATTTGCTGGCAGATCAGGCATAAAGCAGGGTTGTGCCAGGCAACCTAGGATGCATTGTTCTGCCCAAATTTGTAGCCTTGTGTGCCAGGCATCGCTCTGAATGCTTTGCATGCTTTCACTTATTCAAGATTTGCAACAAATCTAGGAAGCAGCAGACAAGTGACTTGCCTAAAGCAAGCGGAACACCAGAAACTCGGGAGTTTGGGCTTGAACTCCTGTCCTGATCTACACGCGTGGCCTTTGGCAACTGCGTGCCCTTCAGGATCTGTCTCTGTCAGGTGGGGACAGCCTGGTTCTCTGGCTCACCTTCTCCTCCTAAACTGTGGTAGAGGGTTCTTGGGAGGTAGAGCCCTGGCCAGAAAGGCTCACCCTGATCTGTGATAAGAGAGAGGAGGGGCCCTTTGGTCAGAGTCAGTGGGAAGTCTTAACAGGAAAGACTCTCAGAGAAAGTGTGCTCTTCTAACTTTCAAGAGCAGTTCAACTGTGGAGGCATAAATACAAATTAATTAGAAACTCAATTGCCAATGGCTGTTTAATATCAGGAACAAGGCATACTAGGTACCTCCTGTTCCCAGGGCTTTGCCACTGTGAATGTTCCTGTTGATTTTGCAGTGCTGGGAACTGATCCCAGGACCTCAATGTGTAAGGCAAGTGCCCTACCCCTGAGTTACTCCCCCAACTCCGCTGACCCTTTAACCCTGGCTGTAGTGCTGGGAAGTGGATATTAATATTAATCCCATTCACAAGTGGCAAAGCCCTGATGCTGTTTTAAGCTGCTGTGAGAAATACTGACAGCCCTGGGACTTAGGTGATTCCTGTTTTGTATGGGGAAATGGAGGCACAGGGGAGGGAATAAATGAATTTTCTGGTTTCATTGCTAATAAGTGGCCCACTCAGAGTTTAGGTGCAAAGGGTCACTGCCTTCTCTGGTCAGTAGTCAAGAGCTTTCCACCATGAGGATCCGTGAGGGATCCCTCAGGCCAGAGGGAATGGTTTGTGGGGTTTCTGTAGGCTTCTAGAAGTTTCTGTCAGTCCTCATGGTCTGAGGTCAAGCCCCTCCTCTCTGGAGCCTTCTTTGTACCCAGGGTGTATGTACCCCACCTGTAATGGAATGTGAACACATCTTTCCTAAAGGGACCCACTTCTCAACTTTCTGGGCGGCCCATTTGGGAGTGAGTTCTCTTTTCTTACAACTAGGAAAATTCACTAAGGAATGGAAGCCTGGCCACTTTATATTTCTTATTTTATTTGATGTGGTACTGGGGATCAAACCCAAGGCCTCATGCATGCTAATCATGCCCTCTACCCCTAAGCTATGTTTTCAGCCCTCAGCCAGGTTTTAATAAAAAAGAATTGCATTCTGTGTGTCTCAGTTCCCACCCAGCTCTCAGGGAGTGGGTCCAAAGCAATGCGGCTGGACCTGTCTATGGCCCAGTCCTGGAGCTCCTGGTCAGGGAGTGTCTGCACAGCTGCTGCCTGGGAGTTTCAGTCCAGCTTCCCCCATTTTTGAGGTGGAGAAGCCAAAGGCCTAGTCTTAGGGTCTAGAAATGTCTTTATGCCTGCACATGCTTTTTCAAGGACATAAAAAGAGAAATTATTTCCCTGCTACTGTAGCCTGCACTATCCCAGGTGTGGTGGGCAGATCTGACAGCTGTCCCCTCTGAGCTGCCCACCTGGTGGGAGCATGGGGAGGAAGGGTGCGGCGAAACAGATTGGTCCCAGCCAGTCGTTGGTGTTTGCGTGGCCCCTCTCTGGATCTGACATTTGCTTCCTAAAGGCCCCTTTGAGAATTTGGAGGAGCTGCAAAGTGCCACACCAAGTTCTTAAAAAGACTTGTATTTGTTCCCAGCCCTATCATCCCTCATCACCGCTCTGAGCTTTGGTTTCTTCATCTGTTCAAGGGGCTCATAAGAGATGTGGGATGTCAAAAGGTAGCATGTGTGAAGCCTTCAGAGTACAGGCCCAGTTTCAGCCAGTGGTGAGCTTGTCAGTTCTGTGGTTGAGCAGAAGTTGCCTAGGCCTGGTCTGCAGAGGTGTTTTGCTTGGCCTGGCCAGTGTTTTCAAATGTATGGATTTGTTGACAACATTTCACCATTGGGAGATTTTATAGAAGGAGCCGGAGCCCCAGTTCCTCTTGAAAAAACGGGAACACTTGGCAGCATGGGACCTGCCTTCTCCAGTGAAGAGGGACACATTTTATGCAACTCATTCCCGTGTCTGCAACCCCTGACGGAGTCCCTGGGGAGCACGGGAGCGCCAGAGACTATGGCTGAGGCTGTGCTACCTTTTACCTCTCATTCTCCACAGCAGTTATTAATATCCTCCTTTTTCTAATCAGTAAAACAGAGGCTTAGAAAGTTGGAGGAAGTTGCCTGAGACCACAGAGTTAGCAGAAGATACCACAGGACATTTAATCGGGACTTGCCTCTGCTTGTATTCTGGGCTCTCCACCCTGGCTTGGAAACCTGGTTGTGTCCTGCTGAGGATCCAGACTGAGACCTGGCCTGGCAATGCTTGTGGTGGTTCCTGTCCTTGGCTTTCAGATTGCTGGAGACTGTGGGGCTAGGGTAGTGTCCAGGGGTCAGTGGGCACACTTAGAAGTCTTAGGATAAAAGTTCCTCTCATTGATGCAAAATGATCACAGTTTTAAATTATTTATTATGAAAAAATTCAAATGCATGCAATTGAAGGAGTAATATTATAACAAACCCCAACACATGCATCATCCAAATTCCACAGTGATTAATATTTTGTCTCACTTTGTCCCATTTTCAATGTCTTCATTTTTTAAAAATTAATTTTATTGGTACAGTTTAGTATACATAATGATAATATTTAGCATATGGAATTTGGACCTGTACATATACTGTAATTCTTCATTTTACCCCTTCCCTTCCTTCCCCTTAACCTCTCTTTCCATCCTTATTTATAAAAGATTCCTTTCCATAATAAATCTTTATTGAAATCTTTCAAAATCCTGCTACTGTCTCTCCATCCGTACGTCAGTGTACATTCTAGAACCAGTGGTGGGCCGATCACTGGTAGTGGCTGTTTCTTCCCAACTCTGTATTCAATGACATCTTGTTGGCAGCTTGAAATCAGGCACAGCAGGAGTGTTTACGCTATGCAAATTGGCAGCCACTAAAAACTATGCCCCGTCACTTGTCTACCTCGCTTTCTACCTGTTGTTAGATACCTCCCTGCCTGCCTGCTGCTGCTAAAATACATGGTTTCTTATACAGTCACAGTTTCTTATAAATTGTCGAGGTGTTGTCTCACGTGAGGTGAATTCTGTTAGAGAATGAATGCTAACATCCAAATCAAATGTCCCCAGCTTCAAAACCCTGCCCTGTCAGGTGTGATGGTGCACACCTGTAATCCCAACACTCAGGATGCTGAGGCAGGAGGATTGCCACAGGTTGAGGCTAGCCTGGGCTATTAGTAAGTTCAAGGTAAGCCTGAACTGCGTAATGAGGCCCTGTCTCAACCAACCAACCAACAAAACAACAAACAAACAACCTAAACCCAGCCTAACCCAACAAAACCCAAACCAAAACAAAACAAAAAGCATGTCCTTTTGTAGATGCTCTGTCTACATAGGACTCAAGCGAGGTCCCCTCATGACATTTGCTTGTGAAGTGCCACAATTTTTCTCAGTCTAGAGCAGAATCCAGCTCTCCTCCCTATCTGCCCTTGTTTGTTGAAGTTCCAGGAGGACCTGAGGGTCCCCCATTCTGCACTGCCTGCTGTCACTTAACGAGTCCCCTCTGTCCCTGTGTTTCCTGTACGTGCTCCAGGCTCTGAATAGGT